TAACAAAGATCAAGCCATCAAATAATTGCTTTTATTTTCAATTGTACATTTATACCTAACTCATGATTACCATTATTATGTATTTATGTCATATTGTCACATAAACATAAGCATGTGTAGTGTTCGTCTTAAAAACGTACAATCTGGTTACTTTGCGATCTGCAGAACCAATCGTTAACTATAATCGTGACTATTGTAGATAAAAAATGCTGTTGTTACTTATTATCATGTTTCAATGTTTCAAAGTAGGAACTACGAATTTTATGTGTTTAAACCCCGTTTTTTTATGATCACTGATATTTATATTTTTATGTAAGTTACCTATGACGACACAGACTTACGATTAGGGAAAAATGTACTTTACTTTATRACCTGACAAATATGTTGCACATTGTAATAAAAATAATAAATGCCAATATCTCTTAATAAGTTTAAATATCGTAAAAACCAATGTACAAACCTCATATATGTATATAATAATCTTGCATTTAAGTTTAGTTTAATAATTATATGTCAATTAATTTTAATAAAATACATTGGTTTTACAGCATTGACGGTATTTAATTATTTTAAATTCTAGAGGGGTTTAACATTTTAATATCAAATACTATTTTGATGGACAATACAAACGGGTACGACTTTTAAATTAATCTGTAATTTTAAGTTGTTTGATTTCTCATTTGTTCAGTTGTAAAAATCTTATTAAAAACCAACCATACAAAGTAAATAAGTCTAAATCACATTATAAATTTGGCTCACTTACTCCTTATGTACATTGTTAGTTTTTGTCTTCGGCGGAGTATTATTATTGTTTTTAATTTTGCACATATTATTATTGTTCATTTTTTGAATTAAAATTGAAATTTATCTATTTTTATGTGTTACCTATAATATCTTGTATTATTAAATAATAATAAGTTTTGTAATGTAATTATAATGAAATTGTAAATATTTAAATTTTAAATTTATATTTTTGTATTAATAATGTATCAATGTGTTCCTTAGTGACAGTTTAACATACTAAAAAAAAAAATGTGTCGGCTACCGAAAATGACGAAAATGCTTATTATTCCTAATAATGTAAGGAATTATTGTCATAATTTCAGTATTGGTAATTAATTAAAGTCAATAGTATCATGTACCTACAGCTCGTAGTGCTCGTACTCTTAATTAAATATTTTAGATTGAAAATATAAAAAAAAATTCTTTCAACTAAGTATCAAACATAGGTATATATCATATAAATATATATTTTTATATATTTTTACGTGTAAGCTATATATGTATAGGTATGTTGTATATTTTATATTTATAGCTTTTTTTTTATTTATTTAAGTATATTCAATTTGTTTATAATAAAAAACAATAAGTATTAAGGATAACATAGAAAATATACAAACATAAATAACGTGAAGAGGAGACCGTTCATTAACTGAACCTCAGACATTTTGTTTTTT